CTTGTGCAACCACTGTGGAAATCACTGTTTTGGTTTCTCAGGAAATTCGGGATCAACCTACCCCTGGACCCAGCAATAGCACTCTTGGGAATATACCCAAGAGATGTCCTATCATATGACAAAAGCATTTGTTCAACTATGTTCATAGCAGTATTATTTGTAATAGCCAGAACCTGGAAACAACCTAGATGCCCTTCAATGGAAGAATGGATGAAGAAAGTATGGAATATATACACATTAGAGTACTACGCTGCGGTAAAAAAAAAAAAATGACTTCTCGAATTTTGCATGCAAATGGATAGAAATAGAAAACACTATCCTGAGTGAGGTATCCCAGACCCAAAAAGATGAACATGGGATGTACTCACTCATAATTGGTTTCTAGCCATAAATAAGGGTCACGGAGACTACAATTGGTGAACCTAAAGAAGCTAAATAAGAAGGTGAACCCAAGGAAAAACATATAGTTATCCTCTTGGCTATGGGAAGTAGACAAAATTGCCGGGGAAAAAAGTGGGATTTTGGGGGTGGGGTGGGATGGTGGTAAGGGGAGATGGGGAGAGAAACGTGAAAAGGGAAGGAGGGGGGAACTTGGGGAAACAAGAGGATTGGGAAAAAGGAAGGTTGGACAGGGGAGCAGGGAACCACAATTCTTAGTTAAGGGAGCCACCTTAGGGTTGGCAAGAGACTTGACCCTAGAGTGGATCCCAGAAGCCCATGGTGATGTCCCCAGTTAGTCCCTAGGGCAGCTGAGGATAGGCAACCTGAAATGACCCTATCCTATAGCAACACTGATGAATATCTTGCATACCACCATAGAACCATCATCTGGTGATGGATGGAGATAGAGACAGAGACCCACACTGGAGCACTGGACTGAGCTCCCAAGGTCCCAATGAGGAGAGGAAGGAGGGAGAAGATGAGCAAGGAAGTCAGGACCACGAGGGGTGCACCCACCCACTGAGACATTGGGGCTGATCTATTGGCAGCTCACCAAGGCCAGATGGACTGTGACTGAAAAAGCATGGGATAAAACCGGACTCTCTGAACATGGCGAACAATGAGGGCTGATGAGAAGCCAAGGACAATGGCACCGGGTTTTGACCCTACTTCATGTTCTGGCTTTGTGGGAGCCTAGCCAGTTTGGTTGTTCACCTTCCTGGACATGGACGGAGGGGAGCAGAGCTTGGACTTTCCACAGGACAGGGAACCCTGACTGCTCTATGGACTGGAGAGGGAGGGGGGAGGTGTTTGGGGGAGGGGAAGAAGGAAGGGAGGAGGGGGAGACAAATGGGAGGCTGGGAGGAAGCGGATACTTTTTTTTCTTTTCTCAATAAAAAAAGAAAAAATAATAATAATAGGACCCCATTAAAGAAGATATCATGAACTTTGATTGTAGAACATCAAGAAATCAAGCTGGAAATGAGTTGGAATTTTTCTATTTTCACTAGATTCATAATCGGAATGTGTTGTGTAGACTGCCAAGGGAGGAAAGTCAACAATGATCCTGCCTAGCCAGGCGTTGGTGGCACACACCTTTAATCCCAGCACTCGGGAGGCAGAGGCAGGCGGATCTCTGTGAGTTAGAGACCAGCCTTGTCTACAGAGCTAGTTCCAGGACAGGCTCAAAAGCCGCAGAGAAACCCTGTCTTGAAAAGCCAAAACAGCAGCAACAACAACAACAACAAAAACAATGATCCTGCCAACTGTGAAGACTATGACCTATAATACATACTGTCAAGGCTCCATCTGCCTACTGGTGCAGCAGTGATGTGACTGTGTAGTTATAGTTCATTTGTGTTGTAATAAATAAAGCTTGCGTGGGAAGTAGACAAAATTGCCGGGGAGAAAATTGGAATCCTTGGGGTGGGGTGGATTAGGGGTAAGGGGAAATGGGGAGAGAAAAGTGAGAAGGGGAGGATGGGGGGAACTTGGGAAACAGGATGATTGGAACAAAGGAAGGTTGGATAGGGGAGCACGGAAACAAAATTCTTAGTTAAAGGAGCCACCTTAGGGTTGGCAAGAGACTTGAACCTAGAGTGGCTCCCAGGAGCCCAAGGCAATGTCCCCAGTTAGTTCCTTGGGCAGCTGAGGATAGGGAACCTGAAACGACCCTATCCTATAGCAATAGTGACAAATATCTTGCATATCACCATAGAACCTTCATCTGGTGATGGATAGAGATAGAGACAGAGACCCACACTGGAGCACTGGACTGAGCTCCCAAGGTCCCAATGAGGAGCGGAAGGAGGGAGAAGATGAGCAAGGAAGTCAGGACCACGAGGGGTGCACCCACACTGAGACAGTGGGGCCGATCTATTGGGAGCTCATCAAGGCCAGCTGGACTGGGACTGAAAAAGCATGGGATAAAACCGGACTCACTGAACATGAAGAACAATGAGGGCTGATGAGAAGCCAAAGACAATGGCATGGTGTTTTGATCCTACTTCATGTTCTGGCTTTGTGGGAGCCTATCCAGTTTGGATATTCACCTTCCTAGACCTGGATGGAGGGGGGAGGACCTTGGACTTTCCACAGGGCAGGGAACCCTGACTGCTCTTTGGACTGGAGAGGAAGGGGGAGAGGAGTGGGGTAAGGGGGAGAAGGATGGGAGGAGGGGGAGGGAAATGGGAGGCTGGGAGGAGGTGGAAACTTTTTTTCCTTTTCTCAATAAAAAAAAATTAAAAAAAATAAATAAATAAAGTAAATAAAGCTTGCCTGAAGCTCAGAGAGTAAAACAGCCATACTGGCCAGACTTACAGACCAGGCTTGGTGACACACTCCTTTATTCCCAGTAGCCACACTAGTCTGCCATAGAAAACATGCAGTAATGGTGCACACTTTAACCCTAGAACTAGGGAGGAATATAAAGCAGGAGAAGACAGCTCTTACACACAGTTTCATTCTGCGATTCCTGGAGGAAGGATCATCATTTCGGGTTGAGGTAGAGGTAAGAGCCAGTGGCTCTCTGTTTTGCTTTTCTGACCTCCAGGTTGGACCACAATTTATATCTCTAGGTTTTTATTAATTGTACTACATGACTGTTTTCTTATGTTATATGAAATATGTTAAACATAATAGCATTTTTGTATTGTACTATAATATTGGGTCAAAAATCCACAGCAGGAAGCATTATACACGCTTGTGTGGAATCTGCTACTCTTATTTTGCTAAATTCACATGGTGTCATACTGCATTAGTTATGTTTATATGTATGGATTAGTACTGGGCTCAGTGTTAGTCAGATATTTGTGTATGCAATTGTCAATAGTAAATTGATAGTACAAACTTGTAGTTTGTAAATGTATGGTAAATAGGTGACCATGGAATGCTTTGACTTAATCAGCACATCTGTATCCCCCTTTTCATGGTTCAGGGAATGCTAAAGAAGAAAGGTGAGGGAAGAAGAGTAGTGCTGTCAAATACCATCGCCTGAACACATGTCACAGTGTAGTAATGTGCTCATAGTAAGTGTGGTTGCCTGTAGAAAACAGGCATAACCCTGAGTGGTAAACATGCAAATATTGTTAAATGAGGGGGTCAAGGATCTCTCTGTATTACATTTCCTGCTACTGGGATAAAATACATAAATAGGAAGTGGAAGCAGCTTAATGCAGAAAATACTTATATAGCTCACAGCTCCAGGGTATAGTTGATTAAAAGAGAAACCAAGCCAATAGAACCTTAAAGCAGCTAGAAGCATTATATCCACACGCAAGAAGCAGAGAAGGATGAATAAGTACTTGCTGGTGCTGAGTTCACTTTCTTCATTTTATACACACCATTATCTCCTCATCCCAAAAATAGTTCCTACCACAGTTAAAATGGGACTTCCCACATCAATCACCTTAATGAAGATAATGCCTAAGAAACATAAAAACATATTAAAAGTTCAAGAGCAAAAAAAAAAAAAAGTTCAGGAGCCATGAAGTTCTGACCAGGCTCACATACCTCTGTGCTGACTTGATCATTTTAAGTCCTCATGGTCACCATCTCCTTCTTGACAGTGTCTTAGTTTTATCTCCATTAGTCTCTGCATCTTCAGAGCCCCAAGTACATACTCCAGTTTTCACACAATTAATGAGAATGAGGGAATGTAAAAATGGAGTGTACACAACTGACCTTAACAAAACAGCTGGGACACATAAGACATATGTCTTCTCTTCATGAATCTCAAATATTTCAAATAATTAATTAAGAACTAAGCAAATATATTTTATTGTGAGAATGCAGAGATTTATCAGCATTTGGTTTTGTTCTGCCTACTCACACAGAAACAGCAAAAGGGGTAAGGTGGCCATGTCTGCTATTTTCACTACTCCTTGTTGCTCGCATTATGGAACTAAATAACATTGGAATACAGGAAGAAGCTGGGACATCAAGGTATCCATTCAAGGGATTATACACACCAATCAGCAAATGTCATAGAGCAGCCCTTATTTAAGAAAATATTCTTGAAACTACATTAAGAGTGTCCCACCAGATAGTTCCTTTAAACATCAGAGAGCAACATTTTTATAAATTAGCAGAAAACTCACAATCAGTGTGGGTGGTAGGATACCTAAGTGAGAGTACAGAATTTGGGAGCATCATTTATAGTCAATTATTTTAGAATACTGGAATCTGAATTGTGTTCAATAATTTTTTTCTTGTTCTTATTGAGTTAAATTCCATATTCATAGTAGTAAAAACTTCCACCAAAGCAGATGTTCATACTAGGGAATGTGATAATTTATAATAAAGTATAACAAGAAACTGGGGAAAGCAGAAGATACATAAAGATCAGGACCAAACCAACTGAAGGGACAATAAGTTCCCCTCTAAAAAAAGAGTCGAAAGAAAAATTCTTCAACGTCCAGGGTAAAATAGAAAGTAGGAACCTTAATGTGTTGATGGAAGAGCTCTCCAACCCAACATTTTGATCCTTACTGCATCCAAAACACATGTGATTCCTGGATCTTTTCACATAAGTGATACCCATTTTAAACATTAAACTTTCTTGTAAAAAAAAACACTAAAGATTAACAAATTTATTTTTCAGAGATAGTAATGATGCAAGCCTGTGGCCATCTCTCGTCTTTTCTTCTAGGATGCAATCAAGGTCTTCTCTGGCTGGGGCAATTCCCAAACAGCAAAATCCCAAGTACTGTGAGAATCAAACCGGAAATGCCCATCCTGATGATGTTCTCCACTGTGTGATCTTGAGGCTGTGAGACTGGAGATTGTGGACAAACAGGTCAGGACCATACAAAGCCACCATAATATATCTGTATTTCCACTCTGAGTAGCTCCCTCCTGTGTATGCAATCTGACCTTCTGTATCCATGCCCAAACCAGAATTTTCCTGACCAACCTATTGTAGATTCTGACATGTTTTGTGGTTGGTGGTTGGTATCAGGCACTTATGAGTTACAAAGGCATGATCAATGTGTGAATTGCTCAAGAGAACTGATTCTTCTGTGAAGCTGTGCATTTTTATTTCCCAGAAATGCATATTATACTCATGACAGATTATAATAAAGATCTAAAACAAACCATTTCTCTGCTATATCAGGCTTTCTCCTGGGCTTTTGCTTGATTACTTCAGCCTGACTAAGCTCTGAATTCAGAACTTGTGGCCAAAGTACTTCTTTGGAATCAAGGGTATTGTTTTTCAGAAAGCTAAGATGGAAAAATATAGCCTCCCAGTTTAAAATAAAGAGGCTTTCCTATGATCCCAGTTCTGCTGTAGTATAGAATCCTGGAAGCTAATTCCCCTGGATATTGGTTTGCACTCATTCACTCATGGTTTCCCAAGATGCAGACACCATCTTGTCCTCAGGCAAGACTGACAACAACTGGTCATTGATATCACTTAATGTCAATGGACTAAACTCACCTATAAAAAGGCATAGGCTAAGAGATTGGATATGAAAACAGGATCCAACATTCTGCTGTTTACAAGAAACACACTTCAACCACAAAGACAGGCCCCTACTCAGAGTAAAGGGCTGGGAAAAGGATTATCAAACAAATGGACCTAAGAAATAAGCAGGTGTGGCCATATGAATTTCTAATAAAGTTGACTTCAAACTAAAATCAATTAGAAGAGATGGAGAGGGACATTTTATACTCATAACAGGAACAATTCATCAAGATGAAGTCTCAATACTGAATATCTATGCCCCTAATATAAAAGCACCCACGTACGTAAAAGAAACATTACTAAAACTCAAGGCAGCCATCAAATCACACACACTAACAGTAGGAGACTTCAACACTCCTCTCTCACCAATGGACAGGTCAATCAGACAGAAACCTAATTAGAGAAATTAGAGAATTAATGAAGATAATGAATCAACTGGACTTAACAGACATCTATAGAATATTCCACCCAAATAGGAAAGAATATACCTTCTTCTCTGCAGCTCATAGAACCTTCTCAAAAATCGACCACATAGTCGGTAACAAAGTAAAATTCCAAAGTTACAAAAAAATATTAGTAACCACCTGTGTCTTATCAGATCACCATGGTTTAAAGTTAGAATTCAACAACAATTCTACCCCCAGAAAGCCTACAACCTCATGGAAACTGAACAGTCAACTACTGAATTAAGGAAGAAATAAAGAAAGAAATTAAAGTCTTCCTTGAATTCAATGAAAATAAAAAAAACAACATACTCAAACTTATGGGACACTATGAAAGCAGTCCTGAGAGGAAAGTTCATAGCACTAAGTGCCCACTTAAAAAAAAAAAGAGAAAGCACATATTGGAGACTTAACAGCCCACCTGAAAGCTCTAGAAAAAAAAGAAGCAGACTAACCTAGGAGGAGTAGAAGACTGGAAATAATCAAACAGAGGGCTGAAATCAACAAAATAGAAACACAGAGAACAATCCAAAGATACAATGAAACAAAAAGCTGGTTCCTGGAGAAAATCAACAAGATTGATAAACCCCTATCCAAACTAATCAAATGGCAGAGAGAGAATATGCAAATTAATAAGATCAGGAATGAAAAGGGGGACATAACCACAGACACAGAGGAAATTCAGAGAATCATTAGATGTTAATACAAAAGCCTGTATGCCACAAAACTGGAAAATGTAAAAGAAGTGGACACTTTTTTAGATAAATACCATATACCAAAGTTAAGCCAGGACCAGGTGAACAATCTAAATAGACCTGTTAGTCGCAAAGAATTAGAAGCGGTTATCAAAAACCTCCCTACCAAAAGAAGCCCAGGACCAGATGGTTTCAATGCGGAATTCTACGAGAACTTCCAAGAAGAACTATTACCTATACTCCTTAATGTATTTCACAATATAGAAAAAGAAGAGTCATTACTAAATTCCTTTTATGAAGCTACAATCACTCTTATACCAAAACCACACAAAGACTCAACCAGGAAAGAGAATTATAGGCCAATCTCACTCATAAACATTGACGCGAAAATCCTCAACAAAATACTGGCAAACCGAATCCAAGAACACATTCAAAAAATTATCCATTATGATCAAGTAGGCTTCATCCCAGAGATGCAGGGCTGGTTCAACACACGATAATCTATCAATGTAAGCCATCATATAAAAAAACTGAAAGAAAAAACCATATGATCATTTCATTAGATGCTGAAAAAGCATTTGATAAAATTCAACATCCCTTTATGAAAAAGTCTTGGAGAGATTAGGAATACAAGGGTCATACCTAAATATAATAAAAGCTATATACAGCAAGCCGACAGCTAACATCAAATTAATTGGAGAGAAACTCAAAGCCATCCTGCTAAAGTCACGAACACGACAAGGCTGTCCACTCTCTCCATACCTCTTCAATATACTGCTTGAAGTTTCAGCAATAGCAATAAGACAACATAATGGGATCAAGGGGATTCGAATTGGAAAGGAAGAAGTTAAACTTTCGTTATTTGCAGATGATATGATAGTGTACATAAGCGACCCCCAAAACTCCACCAAAGAACTTTTACAGCTGATAAACTTCTTTATTAATGTGGCAGGATACAAGATCAACTCCAAAAAATCAGTTGCCCTCTTATACACAAATGATATGTAAGCAGAGAGGGAAATCAGAGAAGCTTCACCATTCATGATAGCCACAAACAGCATAAAATATCTTGGGGTAAATCTAACCAAGGAAGTGAAAAATCTATTTGACAAGAACTTTAAGGCATTGAAGAAAGAAATTGAAGAGGATACCAGAAAATGCATAGATCTCCCTTGCTCTTGGATTGGGAGGATCAACATAGTAAAAATGACAATACTACCAAAGACAATTTATAGATTCAATGCAATCCCCATCAAGATCCCATCAAAATTCTTCACAGATCTTGAAAGGACAATAATCAACTTTATATGGAAAAACAAAAAACCAGGATAGCCAAAACAATCTCCTGACCCTCCCAGGTTCCATTCCTATTATGCTGTCCCCTCATTTTCTATACAGTGACTCTCATGGTCTGCATACTTTGTCAGTTGACTCATAAAAACATCATACACCATGGTCTAAACTGGGATCCTGTGTCTACTAGAATATGATTCTACAGAGACTCTGAGGTACCCTCACCTGAGATCAGAAGTTCCAAAAGGTCACTCCCTTCTGACCACACCTGATGATTACTTCTGTAAGAGCCATAGCATCTGAACATCCACCTTTGGCCAAAGGCTGTTGGTTTCACTTGGAACTCGGCAAAAAATAAGCCAGTGTCTTTATCTTGTGAACGCTCACTGTGTAAGAACTTCTGATCATCCTTAGTTAAAATGAACCAGTTGTATGAATGATTTGAGGTACAAGAGAGTGTCACAGTCATTCCTACAGTCACAACGGGGTCTTGCAGTGGCAACAGTATGGGTTTGTTGTAGACTCCTAAAAAAAATACACACAAAAAATTGAAGTGGACCACACAGTCTAAATTGCCGCCCACGTCTTTCCCTCTATGGGAAATAGTGCTACAGCAGTCTTTCTTGAGAGTGACTTCTGGGGCAAGGATTTTTGAGGTTCTCTCACCTGTCACCACCAGCTCTAAGGAGTTACTGCGTTCTGTCCATCCAGCAGAGGTGTATGAGTAGCAGTGATATCTCCCTGCACTCAATTCTGTCATAGATGAAATGGTGAGTTTTGCATTATAATTGTAGACTATTTGGTTCTTTTGGTCCCGAGGATCTGCACTTCCCTCTTTATATATCACATAGATTAGGGTTGGTAGTGTTGCCTTACACCAGATGGCAACATAAGTCCCTGAGGTGATCACAGACCTTGGCTCAGCCCATATGGTGGGCTTGTCAAGGGTACCTGCAAAGAAGTAGGAAGAAAGTAGGTGCACCTGTCACTAAAATGTTACAGAGAAGGTGACAATTGCCCCTGACACATAAGCTGATCTGCAATAGCAGAAGTACAAATAAAGACCACACATTTCCATGGATCTTAGATTTCACTATTAGTATCTCCCATGGTGACCAGCTGTATCAGAAATTGAGTCCAGTAGCCCTGGTTGTCAATCACCCAGCACAAATCAGGTATTTTCCAGGGACCCTGTGTCAGTTGCAATTATACTCAAAAGAACGTACTACACTTCCTTACCTGATACCAGGAGCTCCAGTTGGTTACTGGGCAGTGACCACATCTGAGGGCTGCTCAAAAAATAACCATAACATGTGAACTTCCACCTCTTGTCGGGGGTCACCGGATCCAACAAGAACGTGGCTCCAAATAGGTCAGAGTATATTTTCTGTGAGGGTTCAGGACTCGAGAACTTCTCACCATCCTTCATTAGAATGAACATATTATACGGCTTTTGTGACTCACACTGAAGGGTAACTCGCCCTCCTGAAGTCACCACAGGGCTGGGAATGGCTGACAGAGCGACATCACTGAAGTAAACTCCTAGGAGAGTAGAGCAAGGCTGTTAGGAGAACTTATATGAGAAACATGGTTCCCCACTTCTCATATTTGAGAAAGGAGCCCCCCTAAGGCAAATCCAGGGGCTGAGGGAGGGTTCTGTTACCTGTCACCACCAGCTCTAGGGTGTCACTGTTTTCTAATGAGCCATTGGTGCTTGTATAAGAACACCAATATTGGCCTGCATTGTTCCATTGAACCAAAGAGATAGAAAACTTGGCCTTATTCTCAATTTCTAGAAGGGCTGTTGGTTTCAGGTAGTCTTGACTTCCTACTTTGTAGAGATGATATTCTTTGGCCTGGCCTTTGAGGGCCCTTCACAGAAGAATGTCACCTGGTTCCCAGTGGCTACCACATTTCCTGGCACTGCTCTCAGTGTAGGTTTAGAGAGGACCTCTGAAAGAAATTTACAATTGTTTCCCCAGAACTCCCCTTCTGATACAGTCTTCTTACCCAGAACCTTTTAGGCATCCCCAACATCAGGCCAAACCAGCTGTTCTCCGTATGCTCTGCTCATGAGTTCCCCTTGATCGCCCCCAAAAATGTCCAAACTAGGACAGCTGGGAAGACACTTACCTGCTGATGCTGGGTTCCAGAGATTCGGGCTTAGTCCTGGAAGAGAGTGAGCTGTGAGTGTTTACACTAAATCATGAGCAGGACCTACACTTCCAGGGGCCTTCGGGAACTGCTCAGACATCCTGATGGCCCAAATCATGATTGTTAGGTGGATTTCTTCTCAGAGAATATTTCTCCCTCCTCATATGGTATCTCACCAAGAACCAGCAGCACTATAAGAAATGGGGTCATGGCATCTTCCAGTTGCTACAAGTTTGCAGATAGATGATCTCCTTTCCAAACACACAAACACAAATTGTGTGGCCTTTGCAAACTGGTTTCTGATTTCTGTCATCCAAATGTCATACTGGCAGCCCCTGAAGAAGAGGAACTCTTCTAACCAGCTGCCTGACTCTTCCCTTCCTGGGCTTGATGGGTTGGGCTAAAGATTTTGTGGCTTCTGTCTCTCTGTGGTTCTTTAGTTTTTGGGGCTTGTGTGTGTGTGTGTGTGTTTCTGAGACAGAACCTCTTAAACCTCCTGGTGGTCTCAGATTCATCCTTCTTTCCCAGCATTCTGTGTACTATATTACAAACCCAAGTTTGACTGTGGCCTCTTCCTGCAGCACATCTCCACTGTAAACACCTGCATCTGGCTAAATGCTCTCAGTCACCACAGACCATGACTTAACACAACATAAGCCTGATGGTTTCCTGACATAGCACCTTTACTTGAGGGATATAGTGGTTGTTTTTTTTTCTCTTAGCTCTTGGTTCTCCTCCTTTACTCTTTCATACACACCAATCTCATGGTTGGTGTCCTAGCATGCCTGGAAGATGCTTTGGGATGTTGCAAGAATATTACCTAGAGATACAAGAACAATGCCTACACCAGCCACATGAAACAATGGTAACAGAAACAAAGACAAGGCTCCATACAAATCTAGCTGGTGAGACAATGAGTTATATTAAGGCTCTGTATAAAAATGTCTACAATCTTGTGATTTTTGTGTTTCATTTATTTGTTTATTTGATTGTTTGTTTAGACAGGGTGTTACTATGAGCTCCAGCTGTACTGGAACTCACTCTGTAGACCACACTAGCTGGAACAACCATTCTTACACCCAATTGTTAAGAACAGGGTGTTCCACTATGGCCAAAAATATTGGAAACATCTCAGTGATTTTGGCCCTGGAAAAAAAGCTTTGCCTACAAATTTGAACTGCCTATAATTCTGATTCTCTCTTGTTCAACAACAAGAAAGAATAGAGATGGGACCAATGTTCTACAGGTCAGAACTGTGTGTAGTAACAGTTACAGAGACTTCAATAGGACCAGAGTATTGTCATGATGGAGAGCAGTGTTCTACAACAAAAAAGATGCAGGCTGATGCTGCTGGGATCATAGAGAACAAGAGGAACACACTGAGCACATGGTCTTTTATTTATCCTGTATGAACATAGAGGAGACATGCATGGAAATGGAGAAAGAAATGTGCTGAGCTCACAGCATTGATTTGATTCTATTCTGCTAAATAATATTCCCTCAAAGATTGATTGCTCTTTTCCTATCACCATACATGTCTAACATAGGAACAAATTCTCACCATTCTCTTTTCTCTTGTGTTCCTCTTTTATTGTTCAGAATCCTTCTGGTTTTGGTAAAAGCTGAATTTGATTTAATGCCTGTTCAATCACAAATGTCTATTCTAAATTAGTGTTATTGGCATCTCAACTCTGAGCCTCAGCACCATCCTGATTGTCTAATATCAGTGTCATTTTCGCCATATTCATAAGTTCATGATTGCTTGTGATTTGGATGTACAAGAAATGATTAACCTTCAGACAGTTTTACAATGTAGTTGGCATGCAAGAGGGATTTGGTTATGTAAATGTTATGGTTAAAGGGCCCCTCTCTGCTCTCATGTTTTGCAAATGGTTAATACATTGCATCTAAACTGTGAAGGTCATCAAAATCAAACTTCCCCAAAATGAAAGTTTCCAAAATGAAGACAGTTCCTTATTCAAGAAAAGAAGCTAACATTGTTCAGTGCCTTAACCTACCCTTGGGAAGGATAATTGCAGGGGTAGTATTTCCTTCATGGTGTCTGAGGTAGTGTCAGGGCTCCAAGACTGTTGTTGCTCGGTGCTATATCTGTAAACACATTCTGCAAATACTTTGTATTGTTGTCTGCTCTCCACATTAATGCTAAAATAGGTTAATTCCTACATTTATTCACAGGTTTATTGTTTCATGTGTAGGTATCAGTTTTGTTGTGGGATATTTTTACACTGTGTTACAAAGTTTTGCTTTGATTGGTGTAATTAAAGGCTTAATGGCCAAGATCTGACAGGAGGTATAGGTAGGACATCAGGGCAGAGAGAGAACTCTAGAAACAAGAAATGCAGAGTCACCAGTCAGACACTAGACACTGACAGAACACTGGAGATGGAAGATGGACGAAAGATTATGCCATGATAGCTAGGTAAGAGAGATAGTCGGGATTACTGGGGGAAGAGAGAAGAAAGGGAGAAAGATCTAATCATGCAGAGTGTGCCATAGAGATTCTAGAAGACTTAGAGCAATTCAGAGGTGCAGAATAGAAAAGAGGTAACTGAACCATGTGCCATGACATAGATAAATAAAATAGGTAAATTTAAGCTCTACAAACTAGATAGAAACAAGCCTCACCTATATGCTGATTTTTCATAATTGATAAAAGTCTTTATGTCATTATTGGGAGGCTGGATAATAAGTCAGAGAAAGACTCCTTACAAATAGCGTCCATTGTGGGGCTAAGTATTTCCACATAGTTCTCAAAAAAGATTTTAAAAAGTACCAAACATGGAACCAGATGTCACTTCTTATTCCCACGATCTTAGGTGGCCACTGCCTGACGGCTTGAGCCAGCCAGCACCATGTATGGAGATTCATGATAGGTTTAAGGCTTGTGTGTTTCTAAAACTAAAAGATAAGACACCAAAAGGAAAAGTAACACAGGTAATCCAGCCTTTCAGACTGTCTCTGTTGCAGTTTCCTCAAAATTCTGCTTCTAGAACAACTTCAGATCTGCAGGTGAGAGGGTTCAGCCTCACAGACAACACAAGTCAAATGTAGGATAGATCCTACATTTCCCCATCACACTGGGATAGACAATAGCTAGTAGCTCTCTCAGGACTTGACCATTATCTTAATTTTCTTAAGGTCCCCTAAAGATCCATCATCCCCAGACAACAGGAAGACATCTAGAGAATACAATACCTGTATTTCCAAGAGGTGGGGTCGGTGGTTTCTGGTCATTCAGTGGTTTGTGGATGTTTGACATCATTTTGGGGGTTGGATGTAAATTGTTACTGGTCATGGTAAGGGTGGAAACTAAGTAAGTGGTGTGTATTCAAAGATCACTGTCTGAAACAACAAAAAAAGGCAGTAGATGGCAATAACAGGATAAAAGGGTATATTACTGAATATACACTTATACTAAAAAGTAAACACTAGTCTCAAATATTTTACATTGGTATGGACTTTTATATAATGATAGAAATTTAAAATTACCTTGCTATGTTGTATATACATTTCTACTCTTCTTTAAGGTATTGTACCTATGCAACACATTTAAAAATGTAATGAATAATTAAGAAATACAGGTTAATAGTTAACCATATATAATAATCAGACTTGTAGTCATATAAAATATGTCTTAAAGTTAACAAGGGTATATTTTAGATGAATACTTGGTCTTCAAACACTTCAGAAATCTAAAAAAAATGTGTCATTTAAGATTTTTTTTTCATTTAAGATGTTCCTTGGGCAGCTGAGGATAGGGAACTTGAAATGACCCTATCCTATAGCAATACTGATGAATATCTTGCATATCACCATAGAACCTTCATTGGTGATGGATGGAGATAGAGACAGAGACCCACACTGGAGCACTGGACTGAGCTCCCAAGGTCCCAATGAAGAGCGGAAGGAGGGAGAAGATGAGCAAGGAAGTCAGGACCACGATGGGTGCACCCACCCACTGAGACAGTGGAACTGATCTATTGGGAGCTCACCAAGGTCAGCTGGACTGGGACTGAAAAAGCATGGGATAAATCTGGACTCTCTGAACGTGGCAAACAATGAGGGCTGATGAGATGCCAAGGACAATGGCACTGGGTTTTGATCCTACTGCAAGACCTGGCTTTGTGGGAGCCTAGCGAGTTGGGATGTTCACCTTCCTAGTCATGGACGG